CATAGAGGGGGAGCAAGACCTCTCTGGACCTGTTAGTGATGCCCCTGTTGATGCAGGACAGGGTGTGGTTGGCTCTGCCTATTGCTTTGTCGCATTGGCGACTCATATTCATCCTAGAGTTAGTCATGACTCCAAGATCTCTCTCTGCCTCTGTGCTGCCAAGAGGGTCAGCCCCTAACCTGTAACCATAATGCTGGTTCCCTCTCCCCAGGTGCAGCACCCTGCACTTGTCCTTGTTGAACCGCATCCTGTTCAGATCCACCCACTTCTCTAACCTATCCAGGTCTGCCTAGATGCAGCCCCTGCCTGCCGGTGTATTCACTTTACCACACAGCTTGGTGTCATCAGCAAACTTGAACAGGGTACTCTCCACACCCTCGTCCCAAGGACCGAGCCCTGGGGGACTCCACTGCCCACACCCTCCCAGGTCGACGTCGACCCGTCTACCACCACCCTCTGGGTGTGCCCCTGGAGCCAGTTTGCCACCCATGTGACTCTGCATTTGTCAATGCTGCAGTCATTTATCTTCCTTTACTTCACATAGGTTACTTGGCTCTAGGTCCAAGTATAAATGGCATCCATCCCTTTCTTCTATGTGGACAGAAGTATGTTACCCCATCATTCCTGGCTGGCACAACTGAACATCATTAGTACTTTATTTCTGGTATAAAAAGCCCATGGACCTTGAGAGACAAAACAATGATTTGTGACTTCTTGATCCAGTGGACCTGTGCCACAGAGACACAATCCAGTTCACATACTGTGGACAGCTTTTTTTCCAAAATGCAGCACAGAGGTCAGATGATAATAACACCAAGCGAAGCAAAAGAACTAGATACTAATGAAAAAACTCAGTGGCTTCCTTTTATGTTAATTAAAGATGGGCCCGCGCCACAAAGTTCAGGTTGTTTGGATCCAGGTGTTTGGCTTGCATCACATCTCTAATAATCATTAATCTCATTGAATGGGAGCAGTGGAGGATGGAGAGAGGAAATCAATAAAAAAGATGAATCAAGAAAATGAATGGCATTCTGAAATACCTGCAGGTCTGGTGCTTACTCAGGGGATAAAGAGAAGGAGGAGGTAGTCATGTTAATAAAAAACAAAACAAAAAGCAGTCTGAGCAAAATTCCATTACCTGCAGTG